ACCACTTCCCAAAAGTAGCATTTACTACTACCACCAAAATAATCAAATTGGAGTATTCTGAACCCATAATATATTTTCAATATAACCAGTTATAATAGTCTCAAATCATACTTCAACTCATACGAAAACAATCACCAAAAATTTCCAATCCCAAAAGGACAATCATCAAAAATCACAATTTTAGCCATGATAAACTGATTTGATAAATTCACCAAAAATCACACGTTCATAAATTCCCAGAAAAGCATACATCATCATACTCATACTATTATAGCCGAATTATCCATAAAATTTCAGAAAGAAACTCAAATCATAGCACAAACCCTAGTTTATACAATATAGGGGCAAAATAGTAATTTTGGTTGCAATAGTCCTTACCTCGAGGCTAGCAACGAATCCTAAACGTCAAACCTAGTTTGATGGATTATTCGCACGTACCTAGGAAGTGATAGGTTCGAAGGATCTCAATTTAGGAGAAGGAAATTTAGGAAACGGATGAACGACGCGAATTAGGCAACAAACGCACTTACCGGAATATTGGATTGTTTGATCTCATCATTGGCATAAAATTTCGTGCTGGATACGTTAATATTGAAGAGCTGGAAGGGATAGAGCTTGAAGAGGCGGTCCTAGGGTTTTTGGAATGAGGAAAATCGGATTAGGGATGTATTTATAGTGAATTTCCGAAGTTTGAGTTGCATTAGGATACAACAAGAACGCACGCGTGCGTACCTTCCACGCACGCCGTGCGTGACCCACAGACGCCCCAAACCTTAGTTTTTGTCCCGTTTCTTCCCCATTTGGACCTCCCCTTTGTCCCAAACACTAAACCAAACATAATAAACGACCTAAAGACCGTGTAAACAATATGAAACACAATTTTAATTATTTCCCAAATTCTCTCAAATTTTCGGGGTATTACAACAACTGTCCGGCCTCTGGCGCTGGCGCGTCCCTAGACCTTGGGGGGTCCCGTCGTCTATTTATGGCGCGGGCTAGGCTTTTTGTCGGTTACCGACGGCTGCCGTTTCCCAATCCCAAGTGTGGGGATTTTGTCATCTCAGCCATTCTTTCAGGCCTGTCGTAATGCGATTTAGCGCGAGGACGACGCGATGAGCTTCCCATTGCGAGACGTGGGCCGTTTGCGGGCCCCTCGTCCTGGGACGTCGTCGGCCATACCTGAGCGTTTCGCTCGAAGGGGGCGAAGCGACGTGCTTTGTTGTGTGGCGTCGTCGGCCATACCTGAGCGTTTCGCTCGAAGGGGGCGAAGCGACGTGCTTTGTTGTGTTGCATCCTTTAGTTAAACATTACAAGAAATAAGCAGAACACAATAGGTGCGTTGTTTATGGCAACGACTTTTATTAGGGTCAGTGGCTCGAGGCCGAGGGGGGTAACCTTCTGAACAACTCGTACAAGAGTTAGCTTCCCAATGATTTTCTGAGCTTGGGGTGGGGTGGGGGCTCTGCCGTCTACACCCTCTTCGGATTGCTGGTAGAACTTCACCGAGATGTAGGGCCCTTCGTATTTTGAGGGATAAGCCGTCTGCCGTGCGTCCCTTCGAGGAAGGACGCAGTCAGCGGATGTGACGCTTCTTCAGTTGGGGCTCCTCGAAGTCCTCTTCATCGCTGAGCTTCCCAATTTCATGCTTCTTCGTTGAGGTGTCCCCTTCCTGATTGCCGGTGGAGTTCCTTGGGGTAACTTTGACAAATTGGTGGAGTTCACCCCGTTGAATCAAGCGCTCAATGGCTTTCTTCAACGCGACGCAGTCGTCTGTATTGTGGGAGGTGTTCCTGTGGTAACGACAATAAGTGCCACCCTGGTGGACGTCGTAGACTTCCATGGCCGACCGGGGATCTTTAGGGATGAGACCTTGCTCCTCCACATAGTCGAAGATGGTGTCCACCGAGTGCGTGAGCGTAGTCCTCGGGACGTCCGTCCTCGGCTGCCATGGGCGCTCCTTCCGGTTTCGGCGGGCATGGCCCCCGGCCGAGGATGCATTTGGAGCCGACGCCTCGTCTGACCTCTTTGATGGTTGGCCTACATCCTTCTTGCGGAGTGGAGCTCATCGGCGCCAGCGTACAAGCTCCCTCGTTGGAGTGCCTTGGTGAATGACTTCGGCGGGTCAGTGATGAGGCTCCTTGCATAGGGGCTGCTGCGGAGAATGCCTTGGAAGAGGACGAGAAGGGTGCGCTCATCGGCACCTTCGACCTCGTCTGTCTCCTTCGTCCATCGATCGATGAAAGACCGAAGTGATTCATCGTCTTGCTGCTTTATGGAGAGAAGGTGGGAGAAATGTTTTCTCACGCGCTTCCTTCCGGCGAAGTGGGTGAGGAAGCGTTGGGCAAGATCCTGCCACGAATCTATGCTTCCTTCGGGGAGCGCGTTGAACCACTCGTACGCTGGCCCTTCAAGAATGGAAAGGAACCAACGACAGAGGTATTCATCTGATGCGTTCACCATTAGCATGTTGTTTTGATAGCGGCTGAAGTGCTCCTGAGGGTCAGAGCGGCCGTCGTAAGACTTGATGGCGTTCCCCCTGTACTTTTCCGGGATGGGGGCCGAGAGCACCCTATTGGTGAAAGGGGTCATGGTCCTGACTTGGATGATGGGGTCACCTCGCCCTTCGGCCAACTCCCTCTCCAGGGCGTTGACCTTATTCATGAGAGCGTTGAGGCCGGGGTCGTTGGAGGCTCCAGCCGTGGGGGTGTTGGCCGACTGCCTTGCCTCCATCTGAGCCAGCCTCCTTTCCAGCTGGGCAATGACCTCGTCCCGGGGGTCCCTGGCGGCCGCAGCGGCGCCCTGCTGGTTCCTCATGCGCTCTTCGTGGGCCGCATTGATCTGGTGACGCACGTCGTCCTCGTGCAGCTTCCCCTTGCCCTTGTCCGGGCGGGGCTGGTCCGCTGTCCGGGACACAGACCCCAAGCTTTCCCTTGGCGAGCCAGGCCGACGCTCACCAATCCGCCCTGCCATCCTCTCCGAGACCGGACGACGGCACGTGTCACCTAGCCTATTGAAGGCAGAGGCTTTTCCACGCGCTGGGGTCTGCCCAGGCCGAAGAGGGGAAGCGGGGTGGGAGTGGGACGACGCCGTGTCCTGGGCCATGACCCCCTCATCGTTGCCTATATGGACGGCCAACGGTTGGGGCTGAGGAGGTGGAGTGACGTTCCCCCCGGTCCTTGGCAAGAGAGCGCTGAGGACGGTGGGGTTCTGGGCCAAGCTGGCGATGATGACCGACAGCGCGGCCTGGACCTGTGGATCCACAGACGGAGAGGCCGCGGCCATAGGCCGGGCCGGGGCGTGGTCTATCTTCTCAGCTCGTTTCTTGTCCAAGCCGATGCGGGCATCAGGGGCTCCGCCGTTGAGTTGGTTGTGGAGGTCCGTCGTGAGGTTGATGGCCTCCTGGAAGACGTCCCCTCCGCCGACTTGGTCGGCCGTAGCATCCTCGTCATGTTCCCTGGTCTCCTGGTCCGCAGGGATGGCCTTGCTGACGAGGTTGCGGTTTGACCTAGTTCTTCCCATGATCAGTGGTTAGCCGTGCTTGGTAGCGACGAAGGGTGCTAACTTGATTGTTCTAGCTCTCAACGAAAGCACCAAATGATGGAGTATTAACTCCTAGATTCTAGAGAGAAGGGAGAGCTAGAGAGAGAAGTGAATTGTATCAATGAATTTTGTCCACCCTTACAACTACTCCCAAGGGGAGTATTTATAGAGAAAATACGGGCTGGGCTCCCAAGTCTTGGGCTTGGGAGGCCCATCTACAACTGGACCGCTATTGGGCCGAATACAAAGCCACTGGTGGGCTATACAAATGAATAAGTGTAAAATCCGGTTCTGTGAGACTTCCGTGGCCGACGAGGGCATGGCCGATGAGGGCATGGCCGATGAGGGCATGGCCGACGAGGTCACCCAGTTCTCCGGGCTTCTGGATCATATTCTGAGTAGACCTTTTCCTGGCCGATGAGGGCATGGCCGATGAGGGCATGGCCGACGAGGGGATGGGCGATGAGGGCATGGCCGACAAGGTCACCCGATTCTCCTGACTTCTGGATCATATTCTGGGTGGCCTTCTTTCTGGCCGATGAGAGAATGGCCGATGAGAGCATGGCCGATGAGGGCATGGCCGACGAGGGGATGGCCGATGAGGGCATGGCCGACGAGGGGATGGCCGATGAGGGCATGGCCGACGAGGTCACCCGATTCTCCTGACTTCTGGATCATATTCTAGGTGGCCTTCTTTCTGGCCGATGAGAGCATGGCCGATGAGAGCATGGCCGACGAGGTCACCCGGTGATCGTAGTACCTTCTGTTCTTCTGAGTATGTGGGTCCTGGGGCCTAGACCCATATACTCCATCAAAACGATTTAAAATTTTAATTGTCATTATATTTATCTTTTTGTAATTCCTTGTATTAACTTGTGATGTGTTTATTTTCTGTTTTCTTACTTTATCTTTTGATTTCTCTCGCAGGGACATGCTAGGGGTGATGAGTATCGTCTTTAGGAAGAGCGGGATCCATGAATTGGGCATATAATGGAGTCCGTTATTGTCATTTCCGATCTTTGTTATAGTCACTAGCTTTTAATGATGTATTTTAGATTTCTAGTTCATTCCGTACACCGTGAATTTAGATTACTCTGTATATGGATGTACTCATGTACGCAATCTTTTAAATCGTTGATGCTCAATCTGAAGGTGTTATGATTACACTTTCTTCAATGTTAAATATTTATTACCCTTAATATTATTGAAAGTGTTATTGTATATTGAAATATTAATATATGTGATTTGAGTAATACATACGGAGTACAATGAAAGTCAAAGCCATCTAATTAATTGTTAAAAATATAAAAATGGTGTTGCGCAACATGTTAATGACGAGAGTGAAGACGGTTACTTAAAACACTATAGAAGTGTTGCATATAAGTCTTATAAATGTTACATTATATATATAAAATGTTGCAAACTAGTATAATAGAAATGTTACATAAATAAAAGATTGATGTTGCATTTTATTTAAAAAAGTGTTGCATAAGATGCATGTTAAATAATCAGAAAAAGTGTTGCATTTGGGTTATTTTTGCAACATTTATATAAAGTGTTGCATAACATATTACAAAGTGTTGCATATGACTTTATGCAACGAGATCTGAAGTAACGCTCATATAAGTGTTACATTAGCCTTTTGTAACACATTAACAATTTAATGTAACAGTTTAGAGGCGTTGCAAAAGGTTCATTTTGTTGTAGTGACTAGCACGTGTCCCCCTTGTATTCCTTCTGAAGAATACTCCAAGCCTCCTTGGATGTTGAGGCTGCAGCAATCCGGGGAAAGACCTCATCATCCAAAGCTTGTTGGATGAAATAGAGAGGCTCTGCATCCGTCTTTCTCTTATCTCTCAAGGCTTGATCTGGTTCCTCCGGTTGGCTATCTTCAAACCCTTCATCAACAATGCGCCATAACTCTTGAGACTTGAAGAGAGTTTTCATCTTCAAACTCCAAAAGTGGTAATATGAACCCTTGAACATAGGTAATTGGGAAATTGAATTCCCATTGTTACCACCCGCAGTCTGCATTGTTTCCACTCTCTTTTTTTTTGTTCCTCACAAGTTAGGCCCTCGGATAGCTCTCAAGCTCTGATACCAAATGTTGTTCAAAGCCTATAAAGGACTATACGAACGTATATTAAACTAGAGAAGAAAAGAGGCTATCAAAACCGAATATGCATGTGTAACAACTAACTCCTATAATTAAGCTAAGCCAAACATTTGAATGCGTGAGTAAATGAAGACCAAATCAAAAGCCTAAACTTCAGCTAACCACTTAGACTTTAATAATAATAATAATAATAATAATAATAATAATAATAATAATAATAATAATAAAAATAAAGGATAAGTAATAAAGTAATATTCCATGTATGCATGGCCTTAAACCTGTTTGCATGCAAGCTTGATCACTTGCTCAACATTTCTGTCCAACTACAAATAATAACTCTTATTTGGGAAACTTTTAAACTTTAATCCTATTTTGGCAATTAAGAATTTAATTACTCTCATTTAGGTAAATATGTTGGAAAATAGTTTTAATTCAAATAAATGTGGGAAACTAAAGAGTTGCTAGATACATGAAAAGACTTCCCAGAAAGTTCTATTTTTAATGTTCCTATTAATGATGTTTCAATGTCTATTATATATAAAGGCATTTCCTGCAATTCAATAGCAGGTTCTTGGACAGAATATGATTCCCTTCTTATACTACAACACATAGTGTGCGTGAGTGTGTGTTATTGTTATGAGAAATATGAGATAATGGCTTACCCTAGTGGTAGCCTTAGACGTGTATATATAATAATCTCAGAATAAGTAATTACAAAAGTATCCCTACACTATTATCTATTACACCCCTCAATCTGTGCAGAGGGAACAACGCTCAGATTGGACTTAAGAAAATTAAAACGCTGACTAGACAAATTTTTAGTAAAAATATCTGCTAGCTGAAACTGAGTAGGGATATATTTCATAACTAAATCACCATGAGCCACACGTTCACGTACAAAGTGATAGTCAATCTTTATATGCTTGCTCCGATCATGTTGGATAGGATTAACCGCAAGGTAGGATGCTGAGGCATTATCACAATAGAGCTGAACCGGTTCGGAGATATAAAAGCCCATATCCGCAAGTAACGAACGAATGAATAAAGTATCCTGAACAGTATAAGCCACCGCTCTATATTCAGCCTCAGTTGAGGACTTGGAGACAGTAGGTTGCTTTTTGGAGCGCCACGAAATCAGATTATGTCCCAGAAAGATAGCGTAGCCGGTAGTGGAGCGACAACTATCAGGACATCCGGCCCAGTTGGCATCGGAATAGGCAATAACAAGAGATGGATCACCACCTTTGCGCAACCATAAACCTTCAGTAATAGTACCCTGCAAATATCTGTAAATACGCTTCACAGCAGAATGGTGAGTGGTGCGAGGAGCATGCATAAACTGAGAAACCAAGTGAACAACATAGGTAGTATCTGGTCTAGTAATAAGTAAGTATTGTAAGGCACCAACCATACTGTGGTACTCCGTACCGTCAGTGAGTAATTCCCCATCAAATAATGATAAAGTGGTACGAGTGGGAAGAGGAGTGCGGACTGGAGTGACTGTATGAAGATGAAAACGCCGCAACAAATCAGAAATATACTTTTGTTGTGAGAGAAAAATACCTGTAGATGTACGGACTGTCTGAATCCCCAAAAAGAAGTGAATATCTCCCGGATCTTTCATGGCGAAAGCCTGAGAGAGTGACCGAATAATTGACTGAACATGGGAAGAAGAACTACCTGTTATGAGAATATCATCTACATATACAAGAATATATACATGATGAGAACCACGACGATAAATAAACATGGAGGCATCAGATCTACTCTCTAAAAATCCATGACTAAGAAGAAATCCATTGAAACGATGAAACCAGGCACGAGGTGCCTGTTTAAGCCCATACAAAGCCTTACGAAGACGACAAATGTGGTGAGGAAAGGAAGGGTAAATAAATCCCGGAGGCTGTCGCATGTAAACCTCCTCAGTTAATTAAGTAGCCATGCAAAAATGCATTTTTAACATCTAATTGACGCACCCCCAGCCAAAAGACGTAGCAAGGGACAATAAAAGACGGACATTAGTGGGCTTGACAACAGGACTAAAAGTTTCAAAATAATCTACCCCTTCCTGCTGCTTAAAACCTTGAGCCACTAAGCGATCTTTGTGACGCTCTATAGACCCATCAGAATTGGATTTTGTTTTATAAACCCACTTACAACCAACCACATTTTTCGTGCAATCACTAGGTACTAAATCCCAATTCTTATTAGCAACGAGAGCATTAAATTCTTCGGCCATAGCCTCCCGCCATTTTAAACATTTATTGGCTTGAGAAAAACAAGTCGAGTCAGGGGGGCATTATATTCCACAGAGGTAAGGGATAAAATGGTTTTGGGTTTATAGATGCCATCCTTGGATCGGGTTCGCATAGGGTGAATATTATGGACAGGTGGAGGACTAGACTGTGTGGGCGTGGGCTGGGAACTGACAGCGGGATTAGAATAAGGGTTGGGTGGCAAACTGGATATATTGGTCGAAGTGGGAGAGGAAGGAGGGGTGTGGTCTGGACTAGGTACCGAGGTGTGGACTAGACTGGACATCGAGGTAGGGGCTGGAGTGGCCAAGAGGGTTGTGGACAAGGGAGTAGATGGAGTAGACGGCAATTTACTGGTTATTGTAGGGGACTGTGCAGTTGAAGGGATAAGTGGTGGAGCTACATTAGTAGGATAAGATGTAAAGGAGAGAGAATATTGAGGTGAAGAGGGTGGAGGGGTGGAGGGACAAGCTGAAAGTGTAGGAAACGGAAAAATAGTTTCATGAAAAATGACATCCCGACTAATATAGACGCGACCAGTGGTAGGATCAAGACAGCGGTAACCCTTGTACCCCGGTGCATACCCAATAAAAACACAAGGAATAGATCGTGGTGATAGCTTATTACCCGAGGTGGCAACTTTATTATGAAAACATGCACAACCAAACACACGTAAAAAAGAATAGTCAGGAGATTTTTGAAAAAGTTTTTGAAATGGACTGAGACCCTGCAAAGTTAGCGTGGGAAGGCGATTAATAATATACGTAGCAGTGTAAAGTGCGTGCATCAACCCAAAAGGACGGGGGTATATGTGCATCAATAAGCATAGTACGTGTTAATTCTAAAAGATGACGGTGTTTGCATTCAGCCACGCCATTCTGAGCAGGAGTATCAGGACAAGATTTTTGAAATAAAATGTCACACTGAAGAAAATGATTATTAAAGTGGTGATTATTAAATTCACCCCCACCATCACTTTGAAAACATTTAATTTTACAACCTAAGAGATTTTCTGATAGTTTCTGAAAAATTGCAAAAATGAGTACAAACTTCGGACTTTCGATGCATGGGATATACCCAAGTAAATCGTGAAAAATCATCAATGAAACAAACGTAATATTTATATCCAAGGTGAGATAAAACAGGGGACTGAAAAACGTCTGAATGAATTAATTGTAAAGGGGCAGTAGTAGTATGTAAAATGTCTTGAAAAGGTAAGCGATGGGATTTACCCAGTCTACATGAAGTAAATAAATTATGAAAAGTACTGGAAGAAAAAATAGAGCTTGTGCGCCGAAGAGTAGACAATATGCTATCACCACAATGACCTAAGCGCTTGTGCCATATCGGACCAGGTGCAGTAGCAGTAAAAAGGGCCAAGGATGGAGTGGAAACGGTGAAGGGATAAGTCCGGTCCTTATTAGAAGCGTGGAGTAGTGTTGCCCCCATGCGATTGTCCTTTACAGAGAAAAACGATTTGTTAAAAATAGCAGTGCAATCAGTATCCTCACATAGCTTCTGAATAGATAGTAAATTAAATTTTAGGTGAGGAACGTGATACACAGATTTTAAAATAAATGGGCAGCCGAATGAAGGTAAATGAACATTACCAATAGTAGACACGGATAAATTAGTACCATTAGCGACCTGCACATTAGTGGGGCTAGTAACAGTGAATTTAGAGTGTAAAATACCTTCATTTGGCATCATGTGAGTGGAGGCACCAGAATCTGGATACCATGTCGCTTCATTGGTCTCACCGGTTGGTAAAGCAGCAAGGGTCGGAGTAGAAGTCGAGTGAAGTTTGGAACAAGTTATGGCGGAATGACCCGGAGTGAAACACAATTGACAAATAACAGGGGGCTGAGGGGAAACATAAGTGTGATCAACTGATGGAAAACCTGCACTGTTAGTGTGAGTACCACAAGTATAATATGGAGACAAACAATAATTTACCGGACAGACATTACCCATACCTGCACTGGAAGCTCCTAAAGGGAAAGATGCATGGGGTCCCATATAGTGAAGCTCATATCCACGGGGATATAACTGATGACCAGGGGTACCGGGGTAGCCATACCCTCTGCCACGTCCCCGGTGATCCCGCTGACCACGCTGGCCGCGACATCCGCGTCCTCCTCATGGTGGTGCTCCGCCTCGGCCAGAATACTGCTGCTGCGGACGGGACTGCTGGGTGGAAGCAGCTGGTGCAGGGGCAACAAACGCCTGGTGCTGCATTACAGAATCACCCATCCCACGCATGTACTGCAATCGTTGTTCTTGGAGATTAAGAACAGGACCCAGCTGGTCAAAAGTAAATGTGGGGGGCATGTAGGCTAATCCACCTAGTATAGATTCATAATCTGGGCCCAGGCTTAAGAGAGCGTATTCAATAAGATTCGTATCACTGACAGGAGATTTAATTAAGGCCGGGGAATCAGCAGCAACTTTAATCTCCCGAAGATATTGATCCATTGTTTGATTCGCCTTCTTCCTGATATGAGAGAGTTGGCGCTTAATTTCCATGGAGCGGGCAATGCAAGCGGATATAAATTTATTGCGAAGACGATCCCAAATTTGAAAAGAAAATTTAAGGTCATGCACATCAATCAAAATATCGCGGGAAAGAGTGGCGAAAAGCCATGAACGGATCATTTGATCTATTTTCAACCAGTGTTGATAATTAAGATTAATAACTTCCCTGCGAGAAACATCCATAATATATGGCGTAGGAA